TGTGAACATTCTAAACTAACACGAGTCTCATAAGTGTCCAGTTTAAGGGTATTACACAGAAACACACCACAGGAAAATGAATCAAATATGTACTTTATTCATTTACAATAAATTCATAATGTACATCATTCTGATTGGAGCTAAGGGCATACAACTGTCTTACACAAAACTCCTCCACAAGACAAGCTCCACATAATACAAAAATGGAAACTGCTACATCATGTTTCCAAAGATGGAAAGGCAACCCAATCAGCCTGACTATTACTCTATCTTCAACGGCAAAAGGTTTTGAGTTAGAAGAAGGAAACCATTTATACAGAGCAAAGAATCCCATGTCTTCTGGGATGCTTAAAGCCTCAACTTCCTCCAAGTTTTCAAGAGGATCCAATACTGCCTTCATACTGTCAAAAGGAGTTAAAATAAAAGTCTTCCTTAATCCCAACTCACAAACCAGGATATCAGCAAACATCCTCCAATCCTTAATCAGATTCTTAACTTCAATCACTAACATTTTAGTCCAGTGATCTTTACTGAAATTTACATTCAATAAAGGATTTCTGTTGCTGTTTGCCATGGCTATGAAGCTTTGGGTAAGACTCTCACCTTCCATTGCTGATGAGTTTCCAGCAAGGAATCCATTATCTTCTTCTGCAGTTTCCTTTTCTCCATCTGTAGATTTCTTCGACCTATGAATGCAGCCAAGATCATAATCACTCCTTGCCACCCTTGACTGTTTTTCCCAGCAGGAAAGCAGACCATTTCTCTCCTTTATCAAAGAACTCTGTTAGGGAGATGAACAGCCCTTTTGCATTCTGTTTACTTTCCACTACATATCTTCTACCTGACTTTGTGTGATTTTCCTTCCAACAGCACTGTTTTCCTTTTGTTGCTGCTTCATTCAAAAAATCCTCAAACTATTCGACCATCTCCTAGCCTTCCATCAGCACTGTAGCCTTTTTCGATTCCCTTATCTTCATGCTGTAACACCCTCTGATTCTTATTTCCTCGAAGATGAAGTCTTTGGCCTCCACTTTCATGGCCTTCCTCCATCTTGTAGCATCTTCAAATCTCTGAAATCTTTCCATCCCTTCTACCTTTTCTGCAATTTTTCCATTTTAAGATTTTCTGTGCACCTTCTCATAAGCATTTGTATCACTAAAGAAGAGCCAAGTGGTCAGATATGGGATTTTCTAAAATTTTCATGTACAGAACTAAGTATCTTACAGTCAGACATCTTGATTTTTCATTTTTAATCCTCCATTTTTGGGAGGGGGAGTTTTCTGGTGTTTCTGGGTTATAGGATTTTTGAGGTGTTGGGTGGTTTATTTTGTCTTTGGTTTTTGGTTTTATTTGCTTTTTTTTTTTTGGGTGGGAGATTGTCTTCATATTTTATGGTTTTGACTCTGCCACTGTTTGTTGTCTTTTTCTCTATTTTTTTTCTTCTTTGTACTTGTACTTGTCTGGTTTCCTTCAACAGTTAATGAAACTCATTACCTACCAATTCAAATCTAGTTAATGCAACTGCAAGTGCATCTTTATCCCATTAGTTGTTCTCTTCCTGGCCAAAGTTCAGAGGGAGTACAAAAGCAAGAATAATCTGGAATTGTATCCCATTTGCTGTGTATTGGTTTATTTGGAATGAGAAAAACAGGAGACTGTTTGAAGACAAATTCAAAAATATCAAAGTGCTGGTGGCCTCAGTGAGGCAGTTTATCTTGGATTGGGTACTGCTGCTCCCTGAGTTTGATCAGATTAATAGATCAGATTTGGGGGAGAATTTTTGTAATGTACTTGAAATCCAGATTTTAACCGTCACTAGCATGTATTTGTTTGGTCTTTAGATGCTGTGTTTGTTGTTGTTGAGGTGCCATCTTGTCACCTCCTTTTTGTAACCTTTTTCCTATTAATAAAATTTTATTTCATTACTCTTCAAAAAAAGGTGCATCTTTATCCTATGTCTAAACTGATACATGAACCTGCGAGGTTCAGATTTGAAAAGCTTGACCAGCTAACTAGAGAATCAATGACCCAGAAAGTCCAGGATTTATTGCTCTCTATATACTATGTAAAGTAGTTGGAAAGACGGCTATTTTTCAAGTAAACAGTTGTGAAATCCTCCATCTCCCTTTCTTAAAGGGGAGGTAGCGTCTCGTGCCTCTCCCTGAGTTGTATTTTTTTGGTTATGATTTAACGAATCTTATTATTCAACGATCAAAAAAAAGTAAAGAGTTGTGAAAGCAGGGATAAGTATTCTTTTTTTTTTGAGAAAAAGGTAAAGTATTTAATTCATTAGTATCTTCTCTCTCTCTCTCTCCCCTCTCTCTTTGAGGCTCTATTCACTTGTATCTTTAAATTAGAAGAAAAAAGTGTCAGAGTGGGACCTGACTTGGTCAGCTTTAGTTGACATGAGATGATTCAGTTCCCACATTGTCTGATCAGTAAGACATCTCGAGGACTGAATGGAACTTGTATGTACTATCATGTTACTCCATACTGGATAATACTGAATTGCTCCAATTTTCATATCAGCCATATAGTGTTGGAAGTTACTATGGATTATACTTGTATGTTAACAAATTTTTTCCTTCATTGTAAGATGACTTGTTGATGTTTCTTCTTCCACAACAATTTTACTAGATTGATGATGAGGTGCGGCTTGAAGATGATTGGATTCCTTTGGATGAACAATTGGGCCCGGCAGAGCTTGAAGAGGTTTTGCGTTTGAAGGAAGCACATTCTAGTGCAGTTGTTCTCGAGACTGTAAGTGTTGGATATATCTGTTTTGGCTCTGGTGTTTCCATGTCAATGTTTTTATTCATAGTACCAACTTGTTGGTTTTGATTTGTTTATCCCAAAGATTGGAGATATACCTGATGCTGAGATAAAGCCTCCAGATAATGTATTGTTCGTTTGCAAGCTCAATCCAGTTACTGAAGTGAGTGTTTCTTCTCTGTTGAATAGTTTAGTTGCTGTCTGATAACTTCTGAAGTAGGCACTGAATGTGGAATCTTGAAAGGGTTCTAATGCAGTGGTGTTATTAGTAAAACAATCACTCCAATGCCCCAACTCTATATCCCTTCCTTTGAAGATATATTTTGATCTTGTTTTCACACACCATTCAACGCAGGATGAGGATTTGCATACTATCTTTTCTCGTTTTGGAAATGTAGTATCGTAAGTTTCACTGCCTTAGAGCCATTTTTTCCTATCTCACCTGTATCTTAATCATTTTAAGTAATGTTCTCTTTTATCCCTTTCTCTTAACATCATACTTTTACTTTCTCAGGGCTGAGATAATTCGTGATTATAAAACTGGAGATAGTCTATGCTATGCTTTTATTGGTTAGTGAAATTTTCTGTTTTTCTACTTATAATTTCTCAACAATTCACGTGCATGTTGCAACCTAAAGATTTTCACCTCCTTGATTGACAGACACTTAGCGATTGCTACATTATTATTTCCATTGTCCTTTATTTGCAATTATGCTTCTGATATGCTGATTAATTGAAATAAAAGAGCCTTTTGATCCATCACTCTTTTAGTTTTCAACCATAAAAGAAATAACTTGACGAAATTTTATACATTCTTTTCCCAAAATGCAATTGACTTTTCGTTCAATATTGAGATGGCAATTTTGTGGGTACCCAGTCTGTCCCGTACCTTAATAGGACCCATTTATCAAAACCCAGTAGAGTTTGGGATTTTAGATTAAAACCCTGTTAGTGAAGGGGTATTTTAGTCCTTGTACACCTGTTGAGAGTGCTGATGTGTACTATTATGTTAGTTCGAGTGCCTCTTACTTAAATAAGGGCACTCTTGYCTTTTCCAGTCTCATTAATAATATAATAACAGGTCTGGCCGAATCTAGGTTGACTTCCTGAGTTTCGAACCAGACCTTTTCTCTTCTCCTTCTACTTTCTTCCTTCTTCTTCCTTCTTTTCTTCCTTCTCACTGTTTACTTTACAACTAACAAACCAAACAGATTTCTAGGGCAGGCTGAACTTTAACAAACCCTATAGGGTTTGGGATGGGCTTGGGTTTTGTACTTGGAGTACTTAATACCTGAACCCAATTATAAATAACACAGGCACCCACTCCCATTACCTGATTATAAACCCGTGTGTATATTATTAAGTACGGGAAAATCTATGATGCTGGGAAGACATGATATTGGAAGAGCTTTGACCAATCAAATGTCCCTGTGACTTTTAATAAAAAGCATCTGATTCGTTACCACTTTTATTATACCAGTTGATTGGTTATAAGTTCTAGTGTCATAGTCAAACCCTAATAGATGTATCCTAAATGTTTTATAGGAATAACATATATAGTAAAAAGGGTTGAGAGAGGATTCAAATCCTTCCCCTTGTGTCCCATTATAGGTGTCTTGACCACTAGCCTACCACACCATTTTTTGCTTAGGAGGGACATCACATTTCACTTGTGTGATGACAGGTTTGAGATGGGATGGGTTTGGGAAATTGGGGGGGAGAATTAAATGGGTTTGGGTCAAGGGTGCTTAGGTGGGTTTGGGAATGGGAGGGTAATTTTCACAGATATCCTACAACCCTACCCGTTGCCATCCCTAGATGGACCAAAGAAATGCTTCAGACATCTTTTCTTCCCTACTTCAGTTTTCATTCCTTGTATGGCTCCTTAGTACTTGGTTATCTGATATTTCTTGAGACTGTTTACCTAATAAATTTTGTATGATTTCATAATCAGGCTAGTTCTGGGGGAAAGGGTTTTACTTTTTCTCCTCAGCAACTACTTGAACTTTTGTTTTGCTCTGTTGAAACAGAATTTTAGCTTATCCTTGAGAAACGGAACTTTTTAATGGTCTTGATTATTAAATTCTAATGATTAAATCCCTTTCTAAACATGGAACCATTTTTTTATACCCATTTGTATCCTATTCCATCCAATTAATAAAACAGTTGGGCCAGTTAATTTAAAGGCTCATGAGTCTTTTCCTTAAATTAATGGGAGGACCACTTATTTGTGTCAGTTTAAAATCCCATATGGTCCTATTTTGTTTCATTGAAAAATCTCTGCATTAAATAACTCAGATCAAGAGACATAACAGACAGATCAGGTCATATATGAAATTTATTCATCAAGCGTTCTCAAATATCAATGGTGCCATGCTGCTACGCTAGTACGTTGCCACCAATCTGTATGACCAAGGTTCTACAGATGTGTCTATGTTGTCAACAGGCTTTAGAAGTGTAGGTATGGCATTCAACTTCTAGGGTAATCTTTGGAATTGAAATAGAGGAGGATGACAAGGTAACAGCAGCATGAGATTCCAGTTTTGGATCCACCCAAATAGGGGCATACAGGTGGTGAGCCATAGCTATACAGATGGATGTCAACAAAAACTCTAGTTCTTAATATAACTTGCACATTCATATGCTTATTTTAAGATGTACGTATGTAATTGTCAAATTTTGTTGATTGAATGTCTTTGCTTCTTGTTGTGACAGAATTTGAAACCAAGGAGGCATGTGTACAAGCATACTTTAAGGTATACTAGATGATTGGTATCCTTTGTTTCTTTTGGAATCTACATATTTTGCAACTTCTGAAGGTCTTTTCTCTTTTGTCTGCCAATGGCTCTCATAAAATTTTAAGAGTTGGAACTAATTTGACAAAATAATTATCTAATATTATAAAATGATGAACCTGGGTATTTTTGTGAATATGGGGTTCCTTTTTTTGTAAAATGATGAGCCTGGGTATTATCTATTATAGTAAAATAATTATCTAATATTGTTTCTTGCTTTTCCAAGAGACTAAGTTCCTTCCTGTAAAAGCATAGTATCTTTTTTTAGAATGCTCATCATCTAAACATCCAGTGCGATCAGCATTTGTAAAACCCTCAACCCTCATATGCCAATTGTCGGCAAACAAAATGCCTCTTATAGGGTATTTCCTAAGATAAAAATTAACACCCTTTCTGCTTCTGCCAAATGAGTGCTTCATGGTACATGCATATATTGGCCAATTACAATTCACTGCAAGGAGATGCTTGGTTTGGTCATGCATAAATATAACAACTTACGAACCAATCTTTGATATCCAACTTTGTCCTTCAATAGCTCTCCACTAGCAGAACTCAGCCTATGATTCTGGTTGATATGTTTGTTGGCTTACTCCCTGATTTAACTACTTCCTTGAGCAAGTCAAGTACATTCTTTGAGAAATAAAGGTTCCATTCTTCAATTGGCAACCTCAATATCTAAGAAACACCATAGGTCTCCCATGTCCTTTATCTCAAACTCCCCGTTTAGGGACAACTTCAAGTGACAACTGACAACTTAGGTGGATTATTTCCTGTGACTACTATATCATCAACAGAAACAATAAACACTATCATTAAATCACCTCACGTTTGATGAACAATGTTTGGGACCTAGAATACCCAAAATCTCCACAAAGCTTCCCTGAATCTGTCAAACCAAGCTCTAGATAATTGTTTTAACGCATAGAGAGATTTCTTCAATTTACAAATCTTTCTTCTATCATCTGTCATAAAAGCTTCATGGTAACTCTATGTAAACTTTCTCCTAAGGATCTCCATTGAGAAATGCATTTTTAACATCAAACCTAAATAAGCCATGATAAGATGTGGCAATAGATTATAGGGTTTTAATTGAATTTATCATGGCCTTGTATTTCTCAATGGTGCCATTTGTTTTGTATTTCTCAGTGAAAATCCATTTACGTTATAGGTTCCTTGCCATCTGGAAGATCTTTAATGTCCAATTTCTGATTTTTTTAATAATGCATGCATCTCTAACTGCATAAACTCTTTCCACTCAGGTTTAGCAAGTGTTTCCTGTATAGATTTGGGAATAGAAACAGAAGAAATAGAAGAAAAAAAAGTTGGGGCGTTCACCATAGGGACTCCAAATGGTCCTAGAACCTAACCACCACCCATGATTTGCAGTATAAAGCCTAGAAAAAGCTGACACCACCAGAAGCACCTAGAAACAACCTCTGAGGAATTCTCTGATTTGATATTCTGGAGTCTACTCCAAGAATCTTACAAAACTTGAATAATGAAACAAAACCAGTATACTGGATAGCACCTTACAAAACTTGAATAACAGAAAATATAAGATCTCAAAGGATTCCTTTAAACACATTTTTTATCAAAAAGAACAGTGAGTTGGATTTCTTATTGCTATTGCAAATTCCATCTGATAACTAAATTGGTTTTCTTTGATGTATCTATATGTGTAAAAAATTTTATTGTTTAGGGAGCAAGATCATTTTATTTTACCTTACTAAGGCATGTTAGCAGATGGATAATGCTTTAATTGATGATCGGAGGATACATGTGGACTTCAGCCAAAGTGTTGCTAAATTGTGGTCCCAGTACAGACGAAGAGATAATCAAGCTGGTAAAGGTAAAGATCAGGCATTGTTGTTGCTGTTTTCTTATTCTTGCTTGTTTTGAAGAGCATCTGAAAGGGATGAAGGGTTTTGCAGGACAGTTTATAATTGAAATAGATTTAAATCTGTCCTTCAAATTTGATATAAAACTGATAAAAAATAGAAAAAAGTGAGAGAAAAGAGAACTACAGCAGAATAGAAGATGTAGAAGAAGAGAAAGGAGAAGAGAGTTCGATGGTTTCCTCTCTCCCTTCACTAATCTTTTATTAAACTTAATTAACTAGGCTAATTACAAGTTTACCCTTTAAGGGGGTGCCCAGCTAAGCAAGAACTTAAAAGAAATTAAAAAAGAGGTTAGCAGGCCCATTAACACATAAAACAGATAGAACACTACTTGAACATAAAACAAATATTAGGGCCCATTCGGCCCAGTCTCTCTACATTCCCCTCAAGTTGAGTATAGATGTCAATCATGCCCAACTTGCTTATATGGTGTGTTAGCTTTCCTTTTGGAACACCTTTGGTCTAGACATTAGCCAACTGTTCTTCTAAAGCAATAAATGGCAAGCAAACTTCCCCTGAAGTAACTCTCTCCCGTATGAAATGTCTATCAACCTCTATGTGGTTAGTTTTGTCATGCTGAATAGGATTATGTGCAATGTTGATAGCTGCCTGGTTGTCACAATAGAGCATCATTGGCCTTTTATAGTCAACACCCAACTCTCCCAAAAGTGATCTCAACTACAATAATTCAGACACACCATGTGCCATTGCCCTATACTCTGCTTCAATTGAGGATTTGGCAACTACAAACTGTTTCTTACTCCATGAGACAATGTTCCTTGCCACCAAAGCACAATATCCTGAGGTGGATCTCCATCAATACATCCGGCCCAATCAGCATCAGTGTATGCCTCTAGCTTTATGTGTTCATGCTTGGAAAACAAAATACATTTCCCTGGAGTGCCTTTCAAGTAGCACAAAACTTTCTGCAACTACTAAATGTGTATCTCTGGGAGAATGCATAAATTGACTAATAACACTCATTGCATAGGAAATATCTGGCCGAGCCATGTAGAGATATAACAACTTCCTGAGCAGTCTTCGGAACACTCCCCTATCAGACAATAATTCACCATCAGTAGCAGAAAGCTTATGGTTTAGGTCTATAGGGTTGGAAGCTAGTTTAGCACCAAGTTTACCAGTCTCTGCAAGGAGATCAAGAACATACTTGTGTTGAGAAATGAAGATACCATCCTTAGATCTAGCAACTTCAATTCCCAAGAAATATCTGAGATCCCCCAAATCTTTTATCTCAAATTCAATGTTAAGAAATATTTTGAGCCTAATCACTTCTTGAGTGTCATTACCCGTAACCACAATGTCATCAACATAAACAATCAGAAAAGTCACCAAAGAGTTACTTCTCTTCACAAACAAAGTGTGCTCAGATTGAGTCTATGTGTAACCAAAAGAAACAAGGGCAACTCTGAATCTCTCAAACCAGGCTCTAGGGGACTGTTTGAGACCATAAAGAGACTTATTCAATTTGCACACCTTCCCTTGCATTTCCTTTCCATACACCCTTGGAGGTAAAGACATGTAGGCCTCTTCATGTAGGTCTCCATTTAAGAAGGCATTTTTAACATCAGACTGGTGAAGGGGCCAATCAAAAGTAGCAGCTAGAGACAACAAAACTTGGACTAAAGTCATTTTAGCCACAGGTGCAAAAGTTTCAAGGTAATCAATACCATACATCTGAGTGTAGCCTTTAGCAACCAATCGAGCCTTAAACCTTTCAATAGTGTCATCAGAATGATACTTGATAGTGAATACCCATTTACAACCCATTAGATCCTTTCCTTCAGGCAAGTCCACAATATCCTAGGTATGGTTCTTATGCAAATTATCTAGCCCAATCATCATAGCATCCCTTCATTCAGGTTTGGACAAGGCTTCTGATATAGATTTGGGAACCACATGGGTAGAAACAGGGACAAGAAAAGAATAATAGGTAAGGGATATAAGGCTGTAGGACAAATGTTTAGAGATACAATGTGTTGTATACTTTCGCTTGCCTTTGCAAAGGGCAATAAGAAGGTCAAGGTTTGGGAAGGTAGTAGGTGGGTCAAAGGAAGGCTGACTTGTTACCTCAGTAGTGATGAGAGGTGTAAGAGGCTCTGATGGAGTGGAAACAAGTTGCTCATGTCTGAACCTTTGTCTTTGGTACCACCTTTGGAGAATAGGATGTGAGGGAAATATAGGAGGATGAGTTGGGGGAGGAGGGGGAGCAGGAACATGTGAGGTAGACACGGTGGAAGGAGAGGCAACAAAAGAAGATGACTCAATAAAAGACTAAAATGGAATTGGAAGAGGAACAGATGGAGACATAGCAAACGGTTCCTCAAAATGCTCCCCCTCAGAAGGAATACCAAAGAAAGGAATGGACTTAGCAAATGTGACATCCCCAGAGACAAAGCGGGTGCCATGAACCAGAACAAAACAACAATATCCCTTCCGTGTGGAGGCATATCCTAGAAAACACACTTATGTGCCTTAGGCTCAAATTTGTGTCTCTGATGATTATGAACATGTACATAGCAAGTGCACTCAAAAACACGGGGAGGAAGAGAAAAGAAATCCTCATCCGGTAAGAGAAGGCTAAACGGGGTTTAGAAACTCAGAATCTGGGAAGGCATATAGTTAATCAAAAAAGTGGCAGTAAGGATATCATGCCCCCAAAATTTAATAGGAACATGAGATGCAAAAAGGAGGCATCTAGCAACCTCAACCACATGGAAGTTCTTCCTTTCCGCCACTCCATTCTGTTGTGGAGTGTAGAAGTAAGAACTATGATGAATAACTCCAAAGGTCTCAAAGTAGGATGAAAGGTTCTCAAAAGTCAAAATATTCCTTAGCATTATCAAATTGGAATATTTTGATCTGGGTGTTAAACTGGCTAAGGATAAGTTCATGAAATTTTTGCACAATAGTTGGTACTTTATCCCGAGATCTCGGGATAAATCCAAGTATAACGAGAATAATCATCAATAAAGAGGATAAAATACTTGTAACACCCCATAGTAGGCAAATGATATGGCCCCTACATGTCAGAGTGCACAATATGAAAAGGAGAAATAGATCTTTTATTGCTTACTGAATAAGAATGTCTACAATGCTTTGCAAGTTCACAAGACTCATAATGAAGCCTGGATAAAGGCACTCCCTTAAACATATTAGGAAACAAATGACCCTGTAGAGAACACTGATGTGGGCCCCACAGCAGTGGTTCCCACTGTGTTCGTAGGACAGCATGTGTAGTTATTTGTTTCAGTTATAGTAGAGTCAGTTTGGGTCAGTTTGTTAATTCAATTGTTATTTATTTCAGTTTTTATTTACTTTATTTATCATGTAAGTCCTTTCCATTATGTACTGAACATAACCTATAAATAATAAGAGAGTGGCGGCGGCAGATYAGTTAGAATCTGTCCCTCCTTTCAACCCCTTGTGTTCTCCTGTTTCTCTTCTATTCCTTCTCCTTTCTATCACTTTTCTTCTGTTTTTGTAAACCTAAAACCTATTAGGATTCAAGACTGATTACAGTCTTGATCTTCTACTGACCCAAAGTAGTAAAAGGTAAATGACCAAACTGTAAATGACAAGTCTTTGACAGAGTTGGGCATGACCCAATCAGCCCCAGCAGCTTTGAGGCAATGATCCCAAATCTTGGCAGAAACGTGGCAGTGGATACTGAGGTGGTCAACTGTCTCAGGTACAAGTCCACAGCCCAAACTAGAAAGTTTGCCTTGGAAGGGCTGGTCGAGTTCCACACTTGTTTTCTTGGAAAGCCAGTAGCATCTGTCTTGCTAAGCTTGGAAGCCATAGACTTGAATGTAAAAAGGCCGTCCACACTCCACTTCCAGCTCACATCCATATTTGCTGAAATGCTTTGCCTCTGTAAAAGTTGCATGAGCTCCAAAAATTGTTCCAACTCCCGGTCAAAAAGATTTCTCCTAAAGAGAGGGCTCCATGAGATGGAACCACCACTCATGGCATAAGAATCAACAACTGAAATATCTGGATTAGCAGCACACTGATAGAGAAGGGGGAAAGCCACTGCAAGAGGAGTGTCCAGACACTAGGGACCTTTCAAGAATTTCTGCCTGTCTCCTCTTCCAATCTTGAAACCCAGACCAGCTGAGAAAGCAGGAAGGGATTTCAAAAATCCTTTCCAAAGAGAGCAACCCCAATTCTGCAGTGGGTCCAAGGATCTCCAGTTACCCTAGTCCACCCCAAATTTTGCTGCAATTAGATTCCTCCACCTAGACCTGTTCATGGGCTGGGCCAGGCCGGGCTGGGCTGGGCTTTGCTTATGTATCAACAGAATACATTCAGGCCTGAGCCCGAGCCCGAGCCTGGCCAAAAATTTGAAAACAGATTATTTTTCTTTTTTATTCAATAAAAAAATGTGTTTTATTTACGTTAAAAGCCCTCAAAACTCACTGTTACTTGAAAAAAGAGAAGAGAAACAAAGAAAAAATATTGCTTATATATTTTTTTATTAAATAAAATATGTTTTTATTATATAATATATATTATCAAGTCGGTCTTGGGCTTGTGCCGGGATTTTTTGACAAAGCCTGAGCCTGAGCCTGCAGGCCTAAAATAATGTCCAAGCCCGACTTAGAACGAGCCGGGCCTGCCCATCGGGCTACCCAACCCATGAACAGGTCTACCTCCACCATGCATTCCTTTCAGCTCCAACCCTCCATAACCATTTGCTCAGGATGCTTAGGAGGGCAGTATTGAAAACTGTTAATTTCCTTAAACCCAAGCTTCCTTCCTCTAAAAGCAAGCAAATCTGCTCCCACTTAACAAGGTGATTTTTCCTTTCATCTTCCCAACCCGTCCAGAGGAAATTTCTCTGAAGGGACTCCAATTTCTTTGCCGCCTTGGAGGGGATGGGGAAGAGAGAAAAAAAGGTAGGGAGATTTGAGAGGGTACTCTTCAAGAGTGTCACTCTACCTCCTGAGGAGAGGTATTTTGCCTTCAAGAGGCTAACTTCCTTTCCATTCACTCAATTGCAGGATCCCAGACAGAAATAGAGCTACACTTTGCTCCAAGAGGGAGCTCCAGATATTTCCCTGGAAGGTGATTCACTTGACAAGCCAACACTTCAGCCAAAGCTTCCAAGTTGTCAACCTGGCCCACAGGAAAAACTATAGTCTTCCCCAGATTTACTTTAAGAACTGAAACAACTTCATACCAGCATAGGACACCAAGCATTAGGCAGCATCTATAAAACATAAGAGGCAGCCAGCTTACTGAATTGAGAGAACACTTCCATGAGGAAAATGAATAACAAAGGGAAGAGAGGGTCCCCTTGTCTAATACCTCTGGAGCTTTCAAAGAAGCCCGCCACTTGCCTATTAATTAAGACAGAAAACTTTGGAGTGGTAACAGATACCTTTACCCAATTCCTCCATTTTTTACCAAAATTCATTTTTGCCAGCACAAAATCTAGACGTATCCAGTTGATGATCATAGGCTTTCTCAATGTCCAATTTGCAAATCAGCCCAGGTTTAATCAGCTCATTTGCATTGAGAACACTGTCCAACATTTGTCGTCTTGGAACGAATGCACACTGATTTTCAGAAATTACACTGGATTAAAAGGCTTGTTATCTGTGTGCCTCCTAACATTCCATAGATACAGACATGAAAATCAGAAACTGTCGTGTATGTTATGTTGGCTTTATAGATTTTCTAACTTCTTATAATCATAGAATGATAGAAATGATAAAGAAGTTTATGTTACTTTTCTAGAGAAAAGTAAGTCATCATGTCTATTAGCTGTCCATTTATGTCAAATAAGCAAAGAGAAAAAGGAAAATGTTTCCTACAATTGGCCCTCAAGAATCGGATCCAACATTTTCCAACATGTACACCATCTATGGTTCAGTAATGGTGGAACAGGATTTGTGCGGTGCATTCCATGTAGTTGGACAAGGCTTAGATGAGTTGAGTTCAGTACAGTACATCCATGGGCTAGTATCTTGTACTTGTTAATTATCTATGATGTTTTCTGTTTTTGAAGACTAGGAAAGTTTAGGTGATGTGGACATTAAGAAAGTATCTTGAGGGAAAAACACATGACACAGTAGGCTCCAGCAGCTATTTTTAGGGGAAGACAAGGCTTAGTTGGGAGAAAGACGTAGTTGAGTTGAGCTCAGTACACTACATCCTTGGGCGAGGATCTTGAATAAATCTCTGCACAGATCATTAAGTCAAGCATATTTCCCGATTCTTCATATATCAGGTTGAAAGACCCCCCCCCCCCCCTCTTAATATCACCTTTGACATTGGTATCCTATTCTTCACTGAACACCAAAATACACCTTTTGTCTTCATTTTAGTGGAATTTAAGATTCCTAAAGTGCATGCCTTTTACTGCTTCTAATCCAGTGAGGATATTAGAGGCATTACAGTATACCGGGATATCCATCACTGACTGCCACAGGTGATGCCATTAGTTTATAACAGTTTAGAAACAAACTCTCAATTACTAAGTGTAGGGCCAACTCCCCCATAATTATGATATCCACTACATATGCAAAACTGCAGTAGACAGTAGTACCTTTTTGAACATTTGTAATAAATGAATCTGAGATTGATAAGACTCCGCAAAGAAAGGAACATATTTTCAATAGAGTCATTTAATCCCAAATAACTGCACCACTTCATCCTTAATTTTATTTGTCCTCTAGTTCTGGTTATGTTTATTCCGATTTCAAAATTAGCTTGCCTTCATTACCTTTTATATGGCAAGAAAGACCCCACGTATGGGGATTGCCATTACTTCCAAAATGTGATCACTTCATATTTGGGATCTGCTGCTTTGGTGGATTTAGAGGATTTTGGATCCTCATTTTTGTTTCTAGATGAGACCAAATTATCTTATCCACCACTTTATAATATACTGTTCTTTTGTTTTCTTTTTCTTTTTGTAAGGATGTTCTATGATGCTTAATAAATATTTTCTTTATCATTTAAGAGTAGTTTTGTTTTTGTATTTTTTTTTTTTTTTTTTTTGTGTGTGTGTAGGAAGTGGTTGCTTCAAATGTGGTGCTCCTGATCACATAGCCAGGGACTGCACTGGGGGCCCTGGTACCAAAATGTTGCCTCCTAAGTATATCTTAAAAGACGAGAACATTCAACGAGGTGGGAAAGACAACTCAAGGTGTGTACAATATCTCCCGCATACCATGTGCTGACTTATGCATATATTTATCCATCTGTATGTGTCTTCATCCTTGAACATTTGCTGTAGATATGACATGGTATTCGATGGAGACGTGCCAGAAAGTCCAGAACGAGTCAAGAAACACCGTGAGCATGAATCAGAACAGCATGAAAAGAAGCTGATGGACAAGCCGAGAGACCGAAAACACAGGGACAATGAGGAAAGAGATTATGCTAGAGATGGAAATAGAAATAGGCACAGTGAGAGACCTAAAGGATATAGAGATGATGAGAGTAATCGAGAAAGTACAGCAAGACACAGTGGAAGCAGAAGAGATGAGGAATATCGTGGAGATAGATCAGATAGAGAGAAGATTGTAGAACGGTATAAAGATAAAGAGAACTACAAGAGGCATGACAGCCGGGGAGATAGCAGAGATGAGCGTGATAGTAGAAAGAGAAATACAGAAAGGGATGAGAGGGATGAGCGAGATAATAAAAAGAGGAGTGCAGATAGAGATAGCCATAGGGATAGGAGGTATGAGAGAGATTATAGAAGTGTAGATACGGGTGGCCGTGAAGATAGGAGGGACGAGAGAGATTATAAGAGAAGTGCAGATAGGGATGGCCATGGAGGCAGGAAGGAAGAAAGAGACTACAGGAAGAGAAGTTCAAATTCTGATCGTGATCAAGACCGTTACTCAGACCGAAGGCGTCAGGATGACAAAAGGAGATAATTTCCAGCTGGTACTGTATACAATTTAGATAACAAGGAGTTTAAGACTGACCGATACTTTTTCATGCATGGCTTTCTGAAGGGATTTATATTCCCAATTTTCTTTTTTATTCCATAATTATTTTATCTTAGAGGTCCTCCGAATTTGCGCATATAAATTGATTTACTTAAGACGACCTTTCATCATGAATGGAAGTTCCTTTTGTAGTAGTAAAGTGGACTTGTACCATGATCGTCAGCACTCAGTTACTTGGCCGGTTTCTATTTCAATGATGCTACGACTTCGAAGCTTGGATGTAATTTTGTAATATAGAGTTGAATTCGTGTTGTTCAAGATTTAATTCCACCTTTTTCCAGGCACTCCGGAACAAGGTTCAAAATATCGATACGCCGGTAGGGGCGTATCGGGTAATATCGATATGGTTTTTTTTTTACTTTTTCTTATTTTTTTTTAAAAAACCGGTTTAGGGGGGCAGTTTAGGGCTCCTCCACCTTTTGAACTGGTCAGAACTCTGATACATCCATTGTAGGGGCATATTGGGGAGGTCCCGGAACGATACGTATCGGTCGATACGTGTTGATACTTGGAACCTTGCTCTGGAATCCGTGGAGCATGTGTTCCTACACTGATCCAGAAGCCGCAGTTTGGCTTGCGGTGAAGCCTGGCTCATTAATTGAAGTATGGTGAACCGCTTCACGAGGGAGTGGATCCTCTCATAGGCAAACCGAAGACCCAAAAAAATCAATTCGACAAGCATTAAGGGATGATACTATGGCTGTCGTCTGTTGGCAGTTCTGGTATTTGAGACCATTGTCCATGCGACATTTTAGCAATAAATTATTGCTAGTTGACGAAAAAGTGCCATAATAAACAATCCAGTTAATTGATTTGGTTTTTTGAATTTATAATATATTATCAATAAATAAATATAAAAATATATATATAAATTCTAGGGATATATGTGTAATATATTAATTACTGGTTTTTTCATATTGGTTAACCAAAGCTAAACGGGTACCTTCGATTTTTCCAAAACATTTAAGGTGGCCCATGCAAGTTCAAAGCTGGTCATAATCGACATTGGTCTAAGCCCAATTTGGTTAGAGGATGCTACAAATTTCAAGAGGGACTGGAGGGTATTGTTTTAAACTGATCTTTTTATGTTTCTTTCTTCTTTGTCAAGTTGGTTCAGCTTACCAAAGAAAATAAGGTAAGATTTAAACCTCCCCTGAGATTTATGCCAAATAATAATACCTCCCCTCTATTTTTAAAATGCACTAAAATCTCCCCTGTGAAACGAATTAGCTGTTATTTCTAACGAGAAGTCAAAAAGTGTAACATACCCTTGCAGTCTAATCAAATTGCACAAGAGACTCCTTGATTATCTTCGACCTTGGAACATTAGTGACTGCCAGTCTGCCACCACTCACATCACTGCTCCAACTAGAACCAATGGAACTCCAGTGCAAGAATAATAAAATTCTGGCCTCACAAGGAAGGAACTCTAAGGTCTCTACATGAACAAAAAAAAAATCTGGCAAACATGGCCAACAGTATCCATATATAAATGACGCTCAAGGACCCCAATAATGTAAGATACTTCTTGGAGTAAACCAACTTACATTTCTTTTAAGTAGCATCTTTCAGTTATTGTCTCTTTGTTGGTTTGTTTTTTTTTTCTCTAATTCCTCATGGTTTATGATCAATTAAAGGAATTGAAGATGTTAGAGAACAGACAATTCTGTCTGAAAAAACCCATAATCTGTAGGAGAGAATCAAGAAGACAACTGGATCTCTCTAAAGCTTTCTGTAGAACCTCAACTTACCAGAAACCTGTTAAAGACTAGACCATTCTAATTGAGAATGAACCCCCGAAGAAAGCATAGAATAAATCTTTCAATGGACATCGGCCTTCATCCCTATAGAAAATTACATGTTCAAACCATCTATACTATTAACTTTATAAGGAGAAATTTCATCTGCTACAACTACAAAAGGAAGCTGGGAATGAATGTCGCTTCTCACAAGTCCATAAATGATAAATGTACTACTACCAGATTCTCAGTTACAGAAGAAGACTTGTGGATATACCATTGGGTTCACTCTCAATGTCAATCCACTCTGAAATTCGATGTTTATGCATCCCATTAGCTGGTCAAAGAGTTTGGGTCTACAGTCTACTGACCACAACACATTGCTGGTCACTCACCCAGTTGCACATTGGAACATTGGTTGTGTTGTTCTCCACCTGTAATTTAATACAAAGTGGCGGAGGAAAAATGCAGTCCTTGAATTTGTTGCATGTTTGGCCTGAAGTCTCCCATCTCCCAGGTTGGAATGCTTTCGTGAAGAGATAGGTCTAAATTAATGTACTGCACTGAAAACTTGTGAGATTTTCCAGCCCAACGAAACTAAATAATTAATCTTTAAACATAACATTGTTGAAAGCTTTTTAGTGGACAAATTTGACTATATTCCTGCACCTGAAAGCTTCATAAATAACATTCTGAGTCAATTCCATTGTCTTATAATCTTTTCAGTCGAAATACTCATCTCCTTACTTGATGCTTCTTATGTTTCAGTGCTCTAACTTTAATTGTTTCAACACAATTGGGGAATGAGCTAGAAACTTCACTACCATGGCCATCAACAGAGTATTTTCATAGCCTATAGTGAATCCAAAACAAAACTCATTCTCTCATCCTCCTCAGAAAGAGTTTTCATTGACAAAGTACCTTAAGGAAATCATCCTTTTTGTTATTGGAATAATTTCCATAATTTCTTTTCTTTCCTATATAGTGGCTTGAATAGCTCTTGCATATGACGTTCCAGGATGTAGGGTGGAAACCTCATAAAAGTGAGGAAAACTTCAAGGATTTTTGCTGTTTGTGGGGCTCATTTGGGAGGACTTGCTTTATTCTTGGGTTTCCCTCCTCATGTAGAGGTGGGACCCACTCATCTGTTGGGGTTTCTTGCCCAACTGATGTTCTCTAATTAGTGAGAATGAGACAAATTGCCTTGTCTTGGTTCATGTTAGTGGATAGTAGGATCCACTCTCCACTATCCTTTGGTTTCCTCTACAACCTTCACTTTGTCTTAGTGAGAAGTCTTCTAGACACTCATGTTTGTATCCTTTTTGAGAAGGAAAAGAGAAGAAGAGAGTGGGAAAAGAAATTCCTCTTTTACAAGAGGTGAAGAAGAGATTCAAGTTTCTTTGTACATGAACAAGAATACATTCAATCAATCGTTGTGGTTGTTGTTTTACACTTATTCTTTAGGTTATTTGGTGGGTTTTCTTAGCTCTTCGACAATGATTTTAAAGAGAGCATGGGCAGTTTTGTTTGATGAGATCTTTCTCATGTTTTGTTGATTGAAACACATCTTATTTGGTGATTGTTTCTGTGTATCCAAGAGAGGTTCTTATGTCTTGAAGTTGTTATTCTCTAGTTGGAACAAGAGAATTTGTAACTCCATTATATTTGTTGGTAGTGGAAGATTTCTGGGTTAGTGCCATATAGTTTTTCCTCTTCACATTAGAGAGGTTTTCCACATTAAAAATTCTGGTGTGCTATTTCTCTTGTGGTGTTTAATTATTTTTCTCATTAGACATTACTTGTTATTTCTCTTTTGTCATTTATATTACTAATTTGCACACTGTTAACAAGGGATTTTAATCCCAACAAAGTGGCATCAGAGTTTTGGTTGAAGTAATTTGGGTGTGTAAAAAGCCAAGCCGGAAGGGATGTCCATTGAGGAACAGAAGAAAATTGACAAAAAAGTTGTAGGTGTCATTAGACAATGGATTTAAGATAGTGTTTTTCACCATGCTTCTACAGCAAATTCAGCACACTCTTTAGAAAATGTTAGAAAATTTGTATGAAAGAAAAACAACGGAAAACAAAGATTTCTTGATTAGAAATCTTATAAACATGAAGTTCAAGGAAGGTACATCAATTATAGAGCATTTGAATGAAATGCAAAGCATTGTGAATCAACTTTCCTCTACGAAAAAGGTGTTGGTTAATGAATTGCAAGTCTTGTTGTTACTTAGTTCTTTGTCGGATAGTTGGGAGACATTGGTGGTGTCTCTAAGTGACTCCACACCCGATGGGGTTTTCACAATGAGTCAAGTAACAATAAGTTTATTTAATGAAGAAACTAGAAGAAAGACATCCGGTTCAGCCCAAGGTGAAGCACTTGTTACATAAAATCGGGGGAGAAGCAATGGTACGTAGATATCTACAACACCGTGATAGATCCAAGGGAAGGTCTAAGTTAAGAAAGGGGATTACATGCTACTATTGCAAGAAGTTGGGACATGTGAAGAAAGATTGCAAAAAACTCAAGAACAAAAAGAAAAGGGTGAAGAAAAAGAATAAAAGAAAAACCACTGTAATTGCTTCCAATGGAGAATTAATTATTCTCTTGGGTTGTGAAGAATCTTGCATTAGTCTCACATGTCATGATATGGATAGGGTAATTGATACCGGTGCCTCATACCATGCTACCTTAAAGAAAGATTTTTTCACTTCATATAAATCCAATGATTTTAGTGTGGTAAAGATGGAAAATAATGGTACACTAAAAATTGTAGGGATAGGTTATTTATATGTGAAGACAAATCTGGTTGTAAATTGATTCTCAAGGAAGTGAGACATGTTCCAAACTTTCGACTTACCTAATTTTAGCAAGAAAATTAGATGAAGAAGGGTATTCCAGTCACTTTGGTAATGGGTGTTGAACACTTACCAAATGCTTTCTTGTGGTGGCAAGAGGAAGAAGGTATTGTGCTCTCTACAAGATTCAAGCACATGTTTACAAGGTGAGGTAAGCTTAGTTGAGGAGGCGTTTATAGATTTATGGCACACAGGGCTAGGCCACATGAGTGAAAAAGGCTTACACATTCTCATAAAGAAGCAACTCCTCCACGGTGTGACAGGTACACCTTTAATTCAATGTGTTCATTGTTTAGTTGGAAAACAACATAATTTTTCATTTCAAAAACACAAATCTTTCAAAAGAAAATCTGATGTGTTAGAATTAATTCATTCCAATGTATGTGGTCCTATGAAAGTCAAAACTGTTGGTAGTGCCTTTTATTTTGTTACTTTCATAGAAATGCATGTAGAAAAGTAATGTAGTAAACACAAAGATGGTGTCTTCAAAATATTCAAACAATTTCATGCCAAGGTTGAAAGGAAGACGAGAAAATCTCTCAAATGTATTTGTATGGATAATGGTAGTGAATACATTGGTCTATTTGTGGACTATTATATAAGTCATGGCATTAAGCATGAACAATCCATTCCCAAGACACCATAACTAAA